TTATTAATGTGTTTCTGATTCTGAATCTAATAACACAACATTCTTAAAAATGGGCAGTTGCAAAAATATTGTCTTCCATCCACCTCCGAACACCCCCAACAGCCAGATCAGTACTAAGTTGGTAAAAAGAAGTTTGTCCATGTTCCACTTACTCCTGTTCACCAGGAGGGGGCTGCCCAGCACAGGGCCAGCCCTCACTCCTAAGGTCACTTTGTGTTTTTGGACAGTGGGAGGAAGCCACAGAGAACATGGTCAATGAGAAAAAAGCAAAGTCCAGCCAGTCCTGGATCGGACCGGGAACCCTGGGGCTGCCATCAGATCATCCCAGTACAGCCCAAAACTGGGAATAATCTGCTTATTTCAATGTAATTATTTTCTTTCTCAATGTTGTTTTACAATTTAACTGCAATGTGCTGTCCTCTAAAATGTAAAAGATGACTAGTTCCACATCATTTGACCATCTGACTAATGAGCACTGCCTTCCTGTAATACTAACCAATAGAGACAGAGGTACACTATATGTGGAGCTCATTTCCTTAATTCAGTTGCTAACCCAGGCTTTTGCAGGAAGAAAAAAAAAACCTAGCAGAGGCATTTACATCTGCCATTTTACTAATAAGGGCGAGGAGACAATAAGGGAAATAGGACGAAATGACTATACTAATAACAACAATAGGGCTTTCATAAGGAAGCCACCTCCATTTTAAAATTAAACACCACCCAGACATCTGAAACGTTTGCCATATGTTTCCACTGTTCTGCCTATTAAAAAAGAAAATCTCACACGCGTCAAACACGGTTACGATTTCTTTCCCCCTCGAATGTCTCCATCTGCAAATGCCCACGACGGGCTGCCCTGACTCTGAGAGCAGCATCCGCTCTCCGGGAGCAGCATCAGCACCAGCGCGCGTCTGCTGGCTGACGCAGCTCCGCTCTGAAGGGCACCATGGATGTGCGTGCTCGGACGCGCGCACCTGTGGCGCCGGGGAACGGCCGGGAGAGGGACGCGGATGGCGGTGAGCCTACAGGGGGGCCTGGAGGGGACAGGGAACTGTCCGGAGAGAGGCGGAGGCCGGTACGGAGGAGGGATGGTGGCACTCACCTGTCATTGGAACGCACGGAGGGACAGCGCCAGCGCAGAAACGTCCTGTTCGCAGCCCATCTTCCCTCTGATGCTCCACATCCTCCTCCACTGCCTGGCTCCACGCTGCCTTCACGTCCTGTGGGGAAATTAGGATGTAGGCAGCCTCAGACTTTCATAGAATCTCTTTTATAGCTATTAATAAACAAAAAAATGAAAAAAAATATTGTCATTTTGTATTTTATTCTATATTATTGTATTATATGACATTCTATTATATTATATGACATTTTATTATATCATTTGACATTATATTATATTATATCACATTCTATAGAATGGTGTTGTACTCAGAATTAAGGTTAAAAGGTTCAAATTAAAGATATCCTCAGCTATTACTTCAACAGTTTTATATTCGCCTCAAACTAGGTTTCTGAATTATTTCATACACAACTGGAAACTTTGTTTATTGTTGTTCTAACATCTTTTCCCTTCTCATGACTTCATACAGATATATACATTTCCAAATGGAAAGATGAGTGTGGTGTTCAAAGTAGGGTGGGGTAAGCAGGGCACTTTAATAGGTATTAATGCATTTGAATAATCACACAGGTACTTTGGTAAAGCATTTTCACTTTATTGGATTTGTATTAGCTAGTTTGCACACGGCATTTTTAAGCACTCTACATAGATATGGTCAAAGAAATGTCATTTATTTACTGGTTTGTGTATTTATGTCTTTTCTTTTTTAATGCTAATTGTGCTGCATGGTCAACTTGCAATAAAAGAGAAAGGCTAAAAGTGCATCCATCCAGTGTCTGTGACTTTTCTTTGTCAAATAATTTTGGTGAGAAAAAAGGAAAAGCGTGGTACTTGTTTTAGGCACGGCTGCTAAAATTGTGGTCAGTTACCGAATCCTGTCCAGATGGTGGCAGCAGCGCAGTCTAGAACTGATGTAGTTACTACCCGAAAACAACGAAGAAGAAAAACGCGAACTGTCTGGTTTGGTCACACCGGGCTATCGTAGCTACCATGGATGTCCTGGTGGGAGCCGGTGTAGCTTTTCTGTCCATATGTCTGTTATTTATTGTTCGTTTGTGGGCAGTTGTGAAGTCAGGGCCAAACTACAAGCCTGGCAGGAAAGGTCCGGTGGCTGTTCTCGTTGTTGCGGGTTCAGGTAATGTTCAGCCTGGAAACTTATGCTAGCTATGCTAACCAAATTCAGATTCTGCTGTGGTCTCTGCTGTTGTCTTACTGAAATGGATCAAAACACACTCTGACTTTGTGCTAACTGACAGCCCTACCTGGTAAAATTGTAAAAAAGAAGAAGATGAAGAAGGAAAAATACATTTTGTAGTCATAGCGATAGCTGGTATATTCAGTTTATTATGCTAAAAGCAGGGTTTGGACTGGATGAAAGTTCTTCCTTCTTTCAATCTGTAATTTATGGGAAATAAACCACTGCTGGGTGATAGATAATAAGATTGCATAATTTAAGCCATGGAACATTGAGATTTGGGTGTGTTTGAATGCATATGCAGCAACCTGTAGTTTCCATACAGGACCCAGTTTAGTGTGACCAGACTGCAAAAAAAGGGGGGAAAAGCAGTAAAATTGCCCTGTTTGGCATTTTCACAAATCAGAAAACAGTTTCACAAATTCCAAACAAACCTTTAATGAATCTACTGCATATTTACAATAATTAGATCTAGATTTGAGCAGCATAGCTACTGTAGTTTCCATACAGGACCCAGTTTAGTGTGACCAGACTGCACAAAAAACAGTAAAATGGCCCTGTTCTGCATTTTTACAAAGGAGAAAAACATTTCATAAATCCCAAACAAGCTTTTAATTAATCTATAAACTATTTAGAATATTTCCATCCCGATTTGAGCCACGTAGCTACACTAGTTGCCATACAGGACCCTGTTTAGTGTGGCCAGACTGCACAAAATGCAGTGAATTTGTGAATCCAAAGCCAATTTCAACCTTGTTATTTTATTGCCTTTTCCTTTACTGTAAATGTCATGTGGTTAGGGACAGATGCTCTGAGAAATTGATAAAGACTTGAGAAAAGAAGACGGCCATACAGCCTCATCTAAAGTGTCTTACAGACCTGGACTTAGGAAAAAACTGCTCCTTTAAAAGAAGTCAGTTGTATACGTGATGATAAACCCAACACCCCGTTACTGCATAACTTCAGTTATCATTGGAATTAAAAGTGTACTTTTGTTTCTTTACACCTCTAAAAGCCATGTAGAAACTATAGGAACAAACTGTCCATCATCACTTCATGTTTATTATATTTGTACACTTTACACATTCACTACTTTTTCTATGTACAACACAGTATCTAAACACAAACAGTAAGTTGGTCTGTTTCATTTTATTGCTGTCTTTTTTGCTACGATGTGTGTGTGCCCCCTTTGAATGAGTGCGTTGTTTTGGCCTGCGCGCAGTCGGGCTGTGGTTTGGATTTTTGACGCCTCGAGCCAAAAGCCACATCATTGAATGCCGCTATCCCCGAAGAGAACGCCGGAGCTGCCAGCTGTGCTCGGGAGTAAATGAACCATGTCCTCGTTTGTTTTTTTAGGTGGGCACACCACAGAGATCCTGCGTCTGATGGAATGCTTATCGGCGGCCTACACACCGGTGCACTATGTCGTTGCGGACACGGACAGGATGAGTGAGGAGAAAATCTGCGCCTTTGAAAAATCTAAGCAGTCAAATGCTGAGTCACAGGTGTGTTTTTGCAAAAAAAACTTTGTTTTGTCCATGTACAAAATGTGTCCCTACATTAGTTTAAGTATTACTGAAATAGAGTATAACATGTTTCTATTCATATTCTCTATTTTATCTACAATGGGGGACATCTTGATACATCTTGAAAAGAGGAAAGTTGCATCATATTTACATTTAGGAAGTTGTGGTTTAAATTATATCCAAAGCACAGCACACACAGACCAAGACTAGCAAATAAACCATCCCAGTGTGGACAAAAGAGGGATTACAGTAAGTTAAATGATTCTGAGACAGCCCACATAGCTCAATTACTGTTAAGGTTTTGAAGAATGTCCGTGACACCAATCACACGTTTCTCCAAAAAACAATTATTAAAGCTTTGCTTTTAGATGCTGCATGAAAAGCTTTCTTTATGCTTCTCCATCACATACTCTGAGCTCATAAAAGCTATCCCATTTGCCATTCAACAGTAGCGTTCTTTTAGTTTTATGTTCTATCCTTGGTTTTCGTTAAAATCCACCTAATGATTAGTTAACAGTGTATAAAAAGGCCTTCTTCCGGAGGGCTTAATTGTAATATTTAAATGAAAATGCTAAATTCTCCATTATGATGTGGTGTGATATATGCAGTGCTTTATGTATTTAAATCTCGGGTGGCAAACCAACATTGTTGAAACACTAAAAATAAACGAATAAGCATGAAGAGAAAGTAAGTGAAAAATAAGACAAAGCCAAAGGACCAACCACATCAATAGTGGCATGAGAAGCTCCCACCTCAAACATACAGTACATTTGAGACCGCTACCGGGCATATCTTAACCTGGCTTTGTGATCCACCAATCCTAATCAAATAGTGTAATGTATTTTTTCCATTTTTGCGGGAAACTCTAGAGGGAAAAAAATAAGAAAGTTTATAGCAGCATTAAAATGATACGCAAGAAAGGAACTGGAGCTCACTGGGTAATAAAGGGTTAAAGGGTAAGCTTTGGTAATTGAAACAGAGAATGCATGTGTTCTGCTTTCATGCAGGATGCTGGATTCACATCTTTTTTTTAAAAGGTTTCAGCGCCATGAGAACCTCGGACTGACCGAATGGTAAAGGTAGCTAGCTTGCTGATAACTCTTGTTCCGATACAAGGTTTATTTGGTTTTGTTTGTTTGTTTACATTCAGTTCACCATCTGTCGGATCCCACGAAGCAGGGAGGTCCATCAGTCTTGGAGTTCCTCTGTTCTCAGCACCCTCAAGGCCCTGCGATACTCCCTGCCTTTGGTGTTCAGACTCAGACCTGACATGGTGGGTGGCGTAAACACACAATCACACCTTTTGCCCAATTTCTAGGGGATAGTTAAAAGGAAAATCATCAGCTAAAATGCATGTTTGTACTGGATTGTCTGTCTCTGCTATAAATATGTGCAACACAATACGT